TGGAATCTCAACATTTGCAAAGATTATTTGTAAATTCAGTCGTCATTGAGATTTTGTTGTGTCACACATGCTCTCTTTTCGTTTGTTGAAACAAATGCTTACGTGATTCCGGCATGTTTTGTACCTTTATTCTGCTTCTTATAGGTTGTTAATCAATGTCTAGAGTAGCAGGCTCTGATCAGAAAAATATTACTGATGTCTTTCAGTTTTATCTCTAGAAATTGCACTTCATTTGAATCTTATTTATAATGCGTTAATTAAACCGTTTACTGAAATAAATTAACTTTAACACAGAATCAAGATGGTCTTAATCAGAAGGGGAAGAATAAATGTTTACCTTGTCTGGATGGAAATGATATATACAATGGTCTGTGTGACTTGGATAATTTGGACCCAATGAATGAAGGCAGACTCAATTTTGCTGGCATGCAGAAAGATGGCTATCTTCAGTACTACACACTTCCGCAAAATGACGTAGCTTATTTGGAACTTAATGATCTTGAAGTTCCACTTAATCAACCTGCTGAAGCTAATGAAACGGAACAGATGCAATTTGACCACTTTGGACCATGTTCCCAGGGTAACACAGAACAGCTCATTTTTGGAGGAAATTTTTCTGGTATGGATCAATATGCTTCTTGCCTAGGCCATCTTCCCGTGCCGCCTGAAGGATCCAAACGACTAGGGAGTTGTTCTGATGTGCTTCAGGGGGTGCGACCTTAAGACTAATTTGATTTATTCACTTAAGAACATGTTTGCCTTTGCTTTAAATTAACTTATTATAATTAGTTTTTATCATAGTAAAAGAATAAAGTTATCCAAATATGTTTGGAGGCAAAAAGTTATTCAAAAGTAACTCTACATTTTTCAACCTAGCGTAACGTGCTCTTAACTGCAAACTTTCGTTTTATTGACCTCTATATTTATCAGAGATGTTACGTTATTCTCTCTTGTTTTGATCTTTTTGTGCTAGAATTTAAAATTTAACTATGAATATGCAGGAAAGCAGCAAGTGTGACTGGGGTAACAACACAGCTGCGTATACTTTGGATTTTACTGGCAGACATTCTGAGGATGGGGGCAAATTTCATGCGAAACATGGGCAGAGTTAGTTTTGATGATATCTGATGACAATTCTGGCCATGGCAAGAAACAATCACATTCAGTTGTTATTCAATAATATCACTAAACGAACTTCATTGGAAACTATGGAGGTCCAAAAGGAATAAAATGTATTCTGCAAATCCATTCTGATTTTCTGTATTCTGGAGTCTGGTATAGTTTCATATTAGAGCTGCGCAAATTTCAGAAGAAACTCTTATTAATTGCAGCATTGCTTATTCATGATTGACGCCTGCAGGTACTTGCTGCAAGTATTTGATGTTCTGTAATATGCTTTTCAAATCATTGATCTCATTTTCTGTATTTTGTTTTGCTATGATCTTCTCAGGAATCCAGAAAATAAATCATTCCTTCTTTCCCACTATGAATTGCTGCTCTGTTAGTTTCTTCTTATGGTGTCTCCTCAGTTACGTTGGAGGAGTCGTGTCAGCAGCCAATGGCAGATTATCCGATTGCTGCTGTGACTTTAAATTTATCATATTTGTAAATTTCTTTAAATCATTGACATTGGTATTCTCGTGGATTCTTGTTTATTTTGTGAAGTAATTTGTAGTATTATTTGAACAATTTTAAGTAGGTACATGTGTGTGAGCTTAATTTTTTAATAAATCCTTGGTCTTGTAAATTCTTGGAGAAATGCATCTTTTGGAAAAATTATGGTTGGGTTGGGTTCGTAAACAACTGAAAAGGTAGCAGTTAGATCCTTCACCTATTTCTCTGGGAGGTTACAATCTCTGAGTACTTTTCTATTTGCAGCACTCGCCTGAAAGGGCTACTTTGGTCAAATTATATTTAAAAGATTACATAATCCTTGTATAATCGAAAAAAAAAATGGAAAAAAGGACAGAAAAAATGTCAAAATCCAATGTACCTACCTTTAGAAGTTGAATTTGAATAGTAACACTAATAACAGATTTGATAATGTGGACATGATAAAAACTTATTATTTGATATGGATTATACATTCAGAGAATCATATTTACAGTTCTTTCTGCTACATCAATTGTGAGAAGTGATTCGTTGCCAAATCCTCAATAAATGCAAAGTAATTAAGAGATTTAAAAAAAAATTAAATTGTCATGTAAATAAAGAATTTCTTAAAAAGAAAATCGAAATCACAAAATTTTACAACCGAGTATTATAGATTTAATTGCTATAAAAAAAATTTTATCCCTCGATTACCAACTGTCATGGGACGCTTACAATGTTAATGAAATATTAAATAGTAATTTTAACAATATAGATTTAAAAAATATAAATCCGCTTCTAAAATTTTATTAAATAAAAATTCAATACAACCCACTTAAACATGTTCCAAGTCATTTATTGTCCAACATTTGATGGTGACCTAGTTGTCATTGCCACGACCGGGCCATGAGATGAAGCGTATCTAAACCAAAGTGGTCCGTTGATCTGCATTTTTTATTTTATACTCTTATAATGTTAGATACTAGTTGAATAATTAGTTTTGCTCATGTTTGGTTCCTATTTTTAATTTTTTTTTTAAAACTTATTTTCAATCAAACATTTCACCAACGTTTATCAAAATTTACTCAAAATTTAATTATTTGCTAAACTAAATGGGGTCTTTATGTTTTTTCAGGTCTATAATGGATCGATTGCACTAGTAGCATCCACGAGTGTAGTTTTTATATATATATATAAAATTGAATAGGATTGAATGATGCAATAATAAAATTTTAAATTCATTCTAATATATGACTTTAGTATTGTACAATAATATTCAAACCTCCATACTTGTGAAATAAAGGTAAAAGGTGAGAACCGATGTGTCAAACCCATAGATAGGTCTCCGTAGGCCTACCATTAGTCGCCCTCCCTGGAGATTGCTAGCACGTGAACATCCAGCACTTAATGGATCCCGACTTTAAGTTGTTCAAGAATAATGACGTTGAATTTCTCGATCATGTGACTAACCAGTGAAAAATAAATAAAATAAGAGAGAAATTAGTTTAGCCCTTTGCCGTTTTAGCCTTCTATTTACACAAATACATATTTATATACATTATACATACATATGAATCACAAATGCCATGGAAAATGTTATCCAAGTGGTTGTCCTATTCAGTCTTCTCTATAGTGTGGAGTGCAAGTGAATTGGAAACCTTCAAAATGGACCACTTAACAGCAACCACTCTTTCAATCCTCATCTCTCTCTCTTTCAATTCACTCTCCCCACAACTTTGTTTGTGCCCACTTGCTTCAATTTCTCAACTGTATACCTTACTTCTTCCTCCATCCCAATCTGGCCTTTGCTGCTTTTAGTGTGGTTGCTTCCTATGTCTTGGACGAACTCATCTAAAATTTAAAAATTGAAGCTTCCTGTGAAGAGTTTCATTAACGCTTAATTTATGTCGAGTAGACCTTATTGTTGTTAGAATTTTTAATTCATGAGTTGTAGGGAGGGATCTATATGTCACCACAAAGAGAGACTAATATAGGTGATTTTACGTGCAAATGAAAATTTATGTGTTAGTTGCATATGACAATCATACCAAAATTAGCGGTAACGTCGATACTATCAAGTTGATCATGTTCGATTCTTTTATCCTTCATAAAAAAAATTGTTAAATGTAATTTTTGATTCTTTCATGCATTCTTTCTGAGGCAAAAAAATTGTTGACTAGTTTGAGTCAAGTATAAAATCAGGTAAAATTCCATATATACTTGATGTTTGATTTACTTGAAGTATTATAAAAATAATACTATTGGGACTGAATTATGTTTCACTTCTTTTGCTGGAACTGAGAATTAGAACAGAAGTATCTCCTTCTCCATTTTTTACTCAGGCGGTCCCCGAGAAGAAATGCACAACCTTGAAGCACGGATACAGACACGAAAAAACATATGATTTCTAGAAAAGAAAGACGCGTATATGTAGATTTAAATTATCTTAACAATTTACATTTGTATAATTTTATATTTATACTTTTTAATATAGGACACAATACATGTCAAGTGAGACATTTGTCAGAGAAGTGTACCTAAAGCATCTCTCAAATGTCGGAGATTTACAAATTATATACGAAATAAGACACATCACATGGCTTGTTAGATACATGTAGGACGAATGTCAACATTCGACCTAACATAATATGTGCTGGACATACCACTCCCATCCGTTCCAATACGAATGTCTGTGCTTTAAACCATATTATGCTATAATTTGCCGGGCCATATTATTTTTTTCATTCTCATTCTTCTACTCATTTTCAACCACACATTTTTCAATAAAATAATATTTTCCATCACATCAATAACTTTTCCTTCTTTTTCAACAACACTAATTTTCAACCACACATTCTTCAATAAAATAATATTTTCTATCACATCAATAACTTTTCCTTTTTTTTAACCACACATTCTCCATCAATCTACTATTTCAAAATACATTCTTTCAAAATAATATGGCTCAAACACACCCAAAATAAAAATAACTGCAAATCAATATATTACTATAGGTTTTAAAGAAACATTTGTACATCAAGTCATTACCTTTACAATAAATGACAACAAATGAATTATGTGCCATATAAATTGAGTACTTAAATACATAGATCTTTATGATTTGTCAATAAGAAAAAGAATCTCTATAGTTGTAGTAGTTATTATATTCTTGTCCAAAAATTATGTGCTTCATCTTGAGATTGTGATCTTTAACTGCCAGGCTAGCTCTAATGGTTCTCTTGTACCCTTTAGATCAGTCACTATTCAAGATTCTGGGACCATTCGCACTCAATGATTTGCTGTAAAAATAAGCAAAATATGTTAGGAATATATTAATGAATAAAGAAAGTTCAACTTTTAAGTTACTTTTTTTGAGTCAAAACTGACCATGAGCAATTAATTCTTCAGAACTAATGAAAGCCACCATTGAAAAGATTTTGCCATTCAGAATCCCAAGTTGGCAGCATCTGTGCTTGCTGCAGAAGTTGTAATATTTCTCATTAGATAAAAGGACTTTTGATGAAATGGAAGAATTCCGTTAAGGCTTGCTTGATACACAGTACTGAACATATTGTATAATTTGTATTATACAATATGATACAAATTGGTTGTGCTTATTTTGTCAAACGTGATTACGAAAGTTACTTTAGAAAAGTAAGCACAACAAACATGCTCGAACTGTCTAGTACTGTTTAGTCGAGCATACCACTTGTGGGATAAAAGTTAAAAGAAATTACATGTCCTGAAGAAGAATCATGATATACTTCTGTAATAGGCACAGAAGAGTTTCCTTCTTTTTGAGGCAACAATTGAGATGGATTCATTGCTATGTCAACCCCACAACTTAAGGCTCCTTGTTGCAGTTGATTATACTGTAAGCTTGATGGATTCGGGACTTGTAATTGCGTCGGAAAACTGGCAATGTATGCAGGAATCTTCGATGAAAAGTTTTTGGTCATTAGTTAGGTATAAAGGAATGATTTTTCTTACTTTCAGCTAATCAAAGTTTGTTGAATTTTACAATTTCACGAATAATACCTCTTTTGTAAAGAAGTCATCGATGCTGAAGTCGAGCCTCGGATTTAAAGTAGCCAATTTCATCGACAGGAACTGCGAGTTTACAACCAAAATTTTGTGTACTCTAGTTAGTAATGAAACGAATGAGCAAATCGGATAAGTACTAATCGAGATCAAGACAGTTGAGCTAATTAGTGGTACCTCGACTTGTTTTTGTAATGACTGAACATAGTTGATGATTTCATCAAGCATTCCAGCCTTGCCAGTCACTTTGTTGCAGCCAGGGACTAAATCCTGCAGATACTTCATTTTCTTGCTGATTTTCTCCCTCCTTGCCTGTAAAATCATTAACCAATTCATTTTTCAGCTCAATTTTCTTTTCCAAGTATTAGCCTGATATTTGTATATTTCGTATTCTTACTCTTTCGGCTAAGCTGTGGCTATCAGTGGCCTGTCCACGACGTGCCCTGACGTGGATATAGTCGGGCTTTTGAACGCTCTCCTTTGAAGAATTATTAGTTGAAGTTTCCCTGTCAGTTTTCACCGTGATCTCTGATTGAACCTCTCCTGCTTCTCTTTCAGTCCCTTTGTCCTTACAATCCTCTTCAACATCAAACTGCAATTTAAAAATTTCCTTAAATTTCTCATAAGAATTTATAATACAAAAAAATGACAACATTAATTAAAACATAGTACAAAACCAAACCTCTGCTTTTCGTTTTCTAGTAGTATTGGAGACAGTTCGATCTCTTTTTAACGCGCTGCTACTGATCTGATGATCGTGTTTTGTCATTGAAGAGTTATTAGAAACGGCTGAATGGGAACCGCTTGTGCGTTCAGGACAGGCAAATCCTCTTCCATACATAGGAAAACTAGGCAAATTGGTTTCATCCAAACATTGCTGATATTTCTCCAGCAGCATATTCGACATATTTTGGTGAAACAAAGGATTCATGTTTGCTTCTTGAGGTTGCAAAGATTGTAGTTGTTGCTGCTGATAAAGGCGTTGTAAGACAGCCCTTTGTCTTTCGAGGACGCTCATGTCGATGTCCATGCCCATGACCGTGCATTTCTCAGGCGACGAGGCGGTGGATTGTGCGCAGCGTAACATTTTTCGACCCGCTAGTGGATAAGGAGGCGGTTTTTGAGTGTTGAATTAATGTGGTGAGGAAATGAAGTACCTGAATGGATATTTAAGGACTAAAGGAATAGAGAGAGAGCAAATGGCAATGAAATCAAGAATGTAATGATAGAGAGAGAAGGGAGGGTGGGTGCGGTGGGGACTGGGGGCTGGAAAGGGTGGAGGGTGGACCCCAACACCCATTGCGCCACCATGTGAGGTTGTCCAGTGAACGGTAAATGGTGGTAAAACGGGAGAAAGTTCAGTGACGCAAGTGAGCGGAGTGTAATGTAAAAAATTACGCTACCTCGCCTTGTGGTTAGAGCTGACTCTCTAAATACAAAATACTCCTTATTTTAAAGAGTCAATGGTTAAAAATAAGTTATCATAAACTTTTGATTTTAATTTTTTGAAATAAAAAGTGAGTTTGAACTCTCTCTCCAAATTTGGAGAGCCAATTCACTCTCTATTCTTAATTAATAATAATTGTATTTAATAAGTTATAAATTTCAATACTTTACAATTTAAATTATTCAAATCATATTTGAATTACTTGACCATTAACATATAAAAAATTATGTTAAATAAGATATGAGGAAAAATAAATAAATGTTCATTGGAAATAATAAAATAAAGTATCAAAATAGAAATCATTGTTGGAGTACCTAAAAAAGATTACTATCTAAATTAAAAGATATAATCTATTATGCATAATATATTTTTTATAAATAGAGAGTTTTTTGAAAATGCTTTTAATAATTACACGCTCCTAAGATGTCAATATGTATTTACTTGTTGAAACTTGAACTTATTAAGGATGTCTTTGAAATGAAATTTAGGATTATATGAGACTTCACATAATTGAAACTTGAAAGTGCCCTTGTTTAGGCTCTATTAAAATCAAATTTTGGGGAAAAAATGTATTTGAAAATAGCGATTTTTTGAAAAATGTGTAATTAAAGGAGAAAAAAATTGAATTTATATGTAATATTATTTTATTGAAGAATGTGTGGTTAAAAATAAGAGAGAAAAAAAAAATGCATTTTTAATAACATGAAGTCCAAGGGCTAAATTTTAATTAATAAAACTTTGCCATTTCGTCCATTATTGTCTCCTAAATTTACTTTTAAGCTACTTATTTTTTAAGTATAATTTTCAAAATTACATTTTTAAGAAAAGATTAATCAATCAACACATTTTTACAATGGACATCTTGCTTAATTCGTTTTAGTACTTGCACGTGAGAACATATTAAGCCTCTATTTAATTTAGATAAAACCAGATTTTTAATAGATTTTGATAAAATTGATAGAATGTAGTTGAAAAATTATAGATTCCATGAAATGTATGATTAAAATTAATTATTAATTTTGACTAAAATTTAACCCCTTTTGTAGCTTAATCAAACAGAACCCAAATGTTAGATACAATATTAATCTATAAATCGTTTCAAAATTACAATATTAGACCAATATCCACTCTTTCGATTCAAAATCGACATGTATGTGAAGAAAAAAGTAGACAATCATGAATTTACAAGTTGTTTCAATTCCCGACCCTCTGTGGTCAAATATATCCTTTCAATTCTCATATGATTCACACACTACCAAATTTATTTATTTTTACTCTTTTCCCAGTATGCAATCTAAGATTGATTTTTCATTACTATCCTCACCATCTATAGTTCAGGCGGACTTTTTTAATTGTAAGTGAACACATAAATAAACAAGGATTCTTCAATTATTTGATTGATTCTACCTCTAAGACTAGATTAGGCAAATATTACCTCATCAAAAGTCAATTCTTCTCAAATAAGTGTTTGTGATTTAACCAGGCGTTTGGTGCGTCTTTTATTTCATGCACCTGTTTTTCTTTCTTTCTTTTTTTTTCAAATTTTCTATTTCTTGTTTTTTGGCTGTTTTTTTTTATGCAACTTTTTTTTTTTTTTTTTTTTTTTTTCAAATTTTGTTTTTCATTTTTTTTTTTTTTTTGGTGCACTCTTTCTCCCTTAAAAACATTCTATATGATCCTTGTAATGAGCTTTTGGCCAAAAACTATCAAATCAGATGATTTTAAGGCATCAGGTTGTAAATACCCCAGCGACTTAATAACTCGAGTCATAAAGGCTATGAAAAGATATCTTTTATATATTTTCTACATTGATTAGTGCAATACCCTTCATTAAGCACCTATCTAACCAAACTGGTCTCTAACTTAAGACTTTTGTTCAATTTTGTTCTACTAATTTAAGACAATCTACACATAAATTTTCATATATGGAATCTCAGTTTACATCTGTAATAGTAAAATAACCCCAAAAGTATGCTAAATTTGGTCTTAAGGTTAAATAATTTAGTATGGTTTGGGTATAGCATCTATGTTCGACTAAATCAACTTATCAAGCATATGAATCAACTCATTTCATCACAATGTCAAACTTAATTTTAGTGCTTATATAATATCAAATTTTGTAGGGTTGAACATCAATCAATCTAGCATGTAACATATTCACACTTCATAAATCAATACTAAATCTCAAATATATTCATCATTGCTAGCCAAACTATCTAACTCAAGCACACAACCTAATAAAGAAAATATTGTTTATTTTTTCAACATTCTCAATTTTTTTTCTATTATATGCTAAAGCAATAAAGAACAAACATACAAACACTCAAAAATACAAGAAAAGTAAAAACTCAAACTCAAAGTTTTTCCCACCTCTAAATTTAAAATTGATATTGTCCTCAATGTCATAAAATAAAAGTATGAATATAAGGGGATATGGAAGAAAATGAAGAATGCACTCCCCTAATTTTTCTATTGAATGGTGATAAGCTATTTGTTAATTTAACGCAATTTGTACTTTGTTAAACTCCTTCCGATGTCAATATCCATGGTACCTATCAAGATGGGAATAAAATAATCAAAAGAAAAAAAAACTCATTTTGACTCAATTAGTATTTTCATTTAACTAGGCTAAGTGTCAATTATGAAGATGACCCCCAAACTGAACTAAAACGTGCATAGGACTAATGCAATCTATAAATAAGAATAACACTACATGCAATGTAATGCGGAAAGCAAAATAAATATAAGGGTTAGAAAATTGGGTTGCTCTTATTTCAGTTTTGGACTTGTTTCTAAGCAATTGGAAAAGAATAAAGAAGGATAAATTGGCCAATTGATGGAAGTTTGGGAGACTAATATGCATTTGAGTAAGAGTTGAAGCACTTAAATTGAAGTTATTTGATGTGGAAGATCAAGATGGAAGAAAGAATGAAGATAATAGCTGAAAGGAAAATGCGCATAGTTTTTTATAACTGGGCGCCGCCCAGTTATATGGGTTGGGCCCATTTTGTACCGGGCACCCGCCCAGGCCAAATCGAGAAAAAAATTCTGATTTCCTAATTTGATTCTAACTCTTATGGAAACAAATCTTGAGGCGTCTTTTAAAACCTTAGGGCCCTCCAAAAGTGAGGGGAAATGTCTAATTTGAATCTAACTCTTATGGAAACAAATCTTGAGGCGGCTTTTAAAACCTTAGGGCCCGCCAAAAGTGAGGGGAAATGCATTACAACAAATTTTGAAGAGTTTTTGGAGCAGAGAAGAGAGGAAGAACGTGAAGATCAACTCCTAAAACATGAAGATTCAATTCAAGAACAATCAGTTTGATGTCGTTTCTTCATTATTTTTCTGATTTTCTCTTTTCTACCATGCTAGACTAGATTAATTATGTATTAGGGTTAGATGAACTATGTCATATGATTTTCAATTAGTTTTACATTTTGGCAAGTAAAAACACGTTTTGAAAATTTGAATGATTTATATGAATTTCTTTTCCTCCATTATTATTGTATACGTAATTGTGTGAGTTTGATGATCTATTTTATGCATTCGAAAGAAGGGAAACATGTTTGATGTGGTATGAATCATCATAGTGTCTGATAGGGGATATAAATATACCCTATGCCCTATGTGAATATTTAAGTGCTCATAAAAATACATGCATTAATGTATGTTCGCATTCATCATAGAGATATAGTCGGGTCATATATAAGAATAAGTTTGACTTTACTCTAGAGAGACTGTTAAATAAATTAGGAGCATTAATTCTTCAATATTTCAATCGTATGCCACGATGTAGAACTAGGTGTTGAGAAGAATATTGCATAGGGATTCGTGATCCTAGTACATTTATCATACACTCGAAAACCCAAATTTACATTCATCGTCAATTTGCATATAGTTAGATAATTCATTCGCATAGTTATCAGCAATTTAGTTATAATTTCATTAAAACTAATGTTCTCCTTTTTATTGTTTCGGTTAAGGTCACGGTAATTAGAATTTGTGTTAAGGTGTAGAACTAGATTTAAAAGGAATATTACATAGGGATTTGTGATCCTAGTACATTCATTATACATTAGAAAACACTTCAATTTACACTCATCGTCAATTTGCATTTAGTTAGTTAATTCATTCGCATAGTTATCAGCAATTTAGTTATAATTTCATTAAAACAAATGTTCTCCTTTTTATTGTTTCGGTTAAGGTCACGGTAATTAGAATTTAAACTAATCAATCGTTGTGGGACGATATTCGGATTCAAAAAGTTCACTTTATTACTTGTAACGAACCGTACACTTGCGATGATTTTAATTCAACATATTTTCGTGATCAGACTTCCAATAAGCGTTTAACTTATAGTCTTTAGCTAGACTGTATAGAGGAACCGATCATGATGGTTCACGTTGGAGCCTTATAGCCTTACACTCATTGCAATTTTCAGTTTTACAGCATCTTCTCCTCTTGAGCAAGGCTCCTTAGACGTTTAGACTTTGTCTAATTTGACCATTGTTGAACTTTTTCAAAAATAGATTTAGCTTCCTCCAAGACTAATGCTTACTTGGACAGATTATTTCCCGACCCTCTGTGGTCAAATATATCCTTTCAATTCTCATATTATTCACACACTACCAAATTTATTT